GATTGAAACAATTGCTTATCGTGATGCTGACTGAGGTACCTCCAAAGTTGTCACACTTTCTTTGACCATCGCCTTAATTGCTGCCAAAAGACATTTTTTTGTGTTTTTTTTTCAGCTGCACGAAATAGCGATTCCGGAGAGCAGTTCCCAGCAGCCCAAAAAAAACACAAAAAAGAGCCCTCGGTGTGTCTGCAATTTTCATAAATGTGCACTTTCCATGCGCATCATCTCGGACAGAATTTGAAAGCAAACTGGGCTCCATACTGAGTTGGAAAATTACCCGAAGCGACTTTCCGGGCCTAAGCCTCAATGACAGGCCGCGGTGCAGCGAGTTGGGGGAATTGTTTTTCCCATTAGTTTCGAATAAAACCTACTTTTACCCACCGGCCCCGAAGCTGGAGCAGAAAAACAAAGGTAGAAACAATTGCTAAATTGTTTTTTGTCGACTGACGACGACTACAACTGACAGAAGAACTAAAAATCTAGAAAAAAAGCAATCAAAATAAAACCGGGCTGCAGGTGAACACAATGCAAGTTAATCAAATAACGAAATGTGCTAACCGAGCCAAACTCAAACAAAAGAAAGAACTTTCTCCGGCGACCGCCGATGACCCAATATGCCAAACACTTTTGCATAAATTTTAATGAATTTCACGCTACACCAACTCGCACAGAATTGAGCGAAATAATTCGCACAGTGCGATCAGAGCGGCGTTAAATTGCGCCAACTCAGTGGCTCGGATATGCCAATCCGCTTGGATTTGATCTCAACGGACTAGTTTCCACAGCCTGCACTGATGTTAGCCATATATATGGGAAACACATATAAAATATCTCCAGCAGATCAAATAATACAAGTAATAAAGGAAGAGTCATACAATTTTTCAAAGACTTTTCTAAAGGACACACCTTGGGAAATTAAATTGAAAGCACCGTCACACACCTTTGCGTGGCCAAATGTTTCTGTGTTGACATAAACATGCTATTTTTGTTGGCCATCTCCTGGCTGCCGGCGCTCCCCATGAGTTATAACCCGATGGAGGAGCTGTAGAATCTAACTGCGCACACTCGATCTAATGGCCATCCCATTCGGCCAACGAGAACGGCTTCCTGTCCAGACATCATCCACCAGACGACGACGATACTACTAACCCAGTGCTGTGATCTGGCGTTGCGTGCAGTGACCAAACTGGTTGCTCTTCTAATTGCCCCGGTCGCCAAGTCTTTAGTTGCCAGTTGCCAGTTGCCAGTCGTCAGTTGCCAGTTTATGGACAACCCGATGCCACAGACACATAAAAAAATATATTGTAAAAATATCAAACCTATGTAAGATGATAAATATAATCATTTTAAAGATCTTCTTGGACCTGTATGGCATTAATTTTGATTTAAAACTGTTTAATTTGATCTGAAACAATATTATCTTAAAGGTAAGCTACTCAAAGTTAAGTGTGTTAAATAGGTTACCTTTATATTTGAATAAGAGTTTATTATACATCCCATTAGCTTTATTTTAATAAGAATTCCAAGCCAATTAACTCTTTATTTTGTTCACTGCAGGTCCCGACCATCCAGCATCTGCATTGTAGCCGGTCATTGCGTTTTGTGGTCACTTTGTAACCATCTTCGGCCTGCTCATATTTTCTGTTAATTAGAGCATAATAGCATCGTACTCGGGCTTAAGAACGATATGCATTCTGGCATTCTGGCATTCTGCGGTTATCAGGCATCAAACAAAAAAAAAAAAATAAATCCCGGCTCTTTTTGATAAAGCCAAACCGACCAACTGTATCTGGCATGGAACCGTTAGCACACACAGACTCTTAAACGAGGTAACAAAAGCTAAATACGGAATCATAAACAAGAACTTTAAGAATTTCAATGAAATGGCCAAGACAATCAACGAGTTCGTTGTCTATGATAAGTCTTTTGTTTAGCAGCTCAAGACCCATCGTTCAGCAGTAACTTTGCTGCCCGCTGCTGCCTCATCTCAAGTTCTAAGAAATAAAATATACGCGACTAACTCAAAAGTAAACAATGAATCATATTTTTGAGTACATATTCATACGCATTCCATGAGTTTTGTGACCACCACAGAGCAGCAGTTGGGGAAGTGGCCTAAGACCAGTGTGGGGCACTTCAATTGCCTTTTGGCAGTGGTCGTGATGGAGCACGTGCTTGTCAGTCAAGAATGGCTTTGCGGTTTTATTTTGATACCCTCGCAAAGGGGGAAAATACTATACAACAAGTGGGTAGCTCAAGTTTCTCTCCTCCAGGCAAGAGTTTATTTCGAGTGCTTCGATTTTAGTGTGTTGCTTCTAGAGCAGACAAATATTTATGATCTTATGATATTTCTAGAGCTCTAATTTGTAAACTGAACTAAAGTTCTTAAAGATGAACTGAAGATGCAAAGTAAATAACAAATGTGTTCCGAACTCTTTGGCTTAACATCATTGTATGCTTTTTTGAATTTAACCCCAGTTTTGGTAGGTTTATTCTTTAATATTTATGCAGCTGTGTTTTTATAACAAGTCAAGGATCATATTTCCTTAATCTGCCTGAGTATGTTTGGCTTCTACTCTCTCGAATTTGGAGCACTTAACTCGAAGCTCACAGCTTTTAACCGCAACACAAACTACCTGTGGTCGTCATTCCCCGTCAAATACTATAAGCCAGATTCTTGTTCTTTTTTCTCGCTTTTATTTCTCTTATTTTGTATAAATTTGTACTTCATAAATAGCTGGCTGATTGTTGGTGGGTTGCTCGCATTGTCGTATATGGCTGCTGGCCGAGCTACGGGCAAAGCCATGACGACATGGCTTGGTCATTATAAACAGATATACGTTTGGATTGCCATATATTCATATTGAATCGGATGGCTCCGAGAATTAGCATATTTCGTTCGCTTTCCGAGTGTTTCTCTCTGTATATATATATACATTTCTGTTGGTATGCGGTGACATTGAAACTGATTTTAATGGCCCGTAACAACAAAAACATGGCAATGACAAAAACAAATAAATAACAACTACACGCACTCGCTAAATGTGCAAGTAAATATTATATTTAAAAGCGAAAAGAAGGCGTCACGTCGATTAAAATGAGTTAACCATTGACTTGTTTTGGCCATCTCTATGTCAAGTTGAGGGTATGGCGGGAATAATTGATTGAATGACAAGATACGCTTCTGGGCTTGGTGTTAACCATCACTTTGGGTAACCAAAAGCCCACCAAATAAGGTTTTAGTGTTGTTTATTGATTAATGAGTGTGAAAAGAGGGCTAGCTTTTTATGGTTTTTGATGAGCAAAAGGTCCATTTAATTGGGAAAACAGTCTGGAAAACTGGTTTTAATAGTTTAATGTCTTTAATTACATTTATAAAGGTTCAATTTTTGATATTTTCAGTGGCAATTTGAGGAAAGAAATGTGAATATATCAGACCTCGAATTTTGTTATGTTTTACCTTCACTGAATATCAATCGAATGCAAATTTCTTGTGGCTTCTGGTCTTTTTTTTAGCCAGAGTGTTAACAACCTTTGTGGAGTAACTGAAAACACAGCATAAAAGGCGCTAGTTCATTTATTGTTTAATGAGTGTGAAAAGCGGGGCTGGCAGAGTACCGTAAGCTAACTTTAGTAAGTTTCAATTTTACACACACTTAGCACGCACGTACACACATGACGGGAGATTTACTTTCGCACAAAACAACATCTTACACATGTATTTTTGTCTGCCTTTTGGCCAGACTTATATCATCATCATCATTATCATTATCATCATTATCTGCAACTCAGGATGATAATTAACTGAGAGACTGAGGGACTGCGTTTTGTTTGCCGTTGCTTTTACGTACGCTTCAAGGTTTTGTGAGTTTTGCATTAACCGAAAGCCAACTAACTTGGCCGTCTGTCTGTCTGTGTTTTTTCTGTACTTGAGATTCTCTTTTTTTTTAGTTTTTTTTGAAGCCAAGTTTGCCAAGCCCAAAGAGCGAATTTCAACGCCCACGCCCATAAAGCCTGGCATCTTATGATGTCATTCTCCGCTCGGCCGCTGACTTCAATGGATAGTTCAATAGACCCGTTATCAGTTTCGGGCCAGGAGTGGGCGCAGACAAGGGCGGTATATTCAAAAAATATATATAAATGTCCAACAAAAGTTTCAGGAAATCAATAAAATGGTCAGCAGTTCAAAAAGTTAGTATTTAAGAGGTTTACTGGAAGTTTACTTCAGTGTTTTGTTTGTGGCAAACATCAGTCAATGTTTGTGACTTCAAAAAATATAGATTACAAGAAAATTTCGAAATCTTTTTAGAACCATAATTAGACTACATTTAAGCCTTGCTTCCATAAATACTGAGAACACAGAGAAGCACAACTTTTATAGTGAAAACCCCAAGAAAAACCCCCCTCGGGATCGACCAATTCGAGACTTGAACTAATTCGAAATGATGCCAAGCCCTAGCGCAACTCTCACCATGATAGATTTGTGCCATTTCATACAGAAAAACTGAAATCGAACCAAACCAAATCAGAACTTAAACCCCGAAAACCGAAAGCCCAAGAGCAAAGGCATTCCTGAAGCGCTCACGAACAATGGACCAATTTCTAGGAGGGGGCACTGGCAGTCGGTTGGGTAAAAGTTAAGATATCGGTCAGTGGCACATTCGGAGTTAGACCCCGTTGAGGCAGGGGGGCACTAAGACCGCTGAGTTATTGCTATTGATAAACTAGTGGCCCAGCAGCTGCAGTCAATGTGGAGTTCATTAATTTGTCTGCCTTTGGAAAATTGCCGTGGAAAATGCACAGCGCGGCGACCTGAGACCGAAGACCGAAGACCAGGGAAATAGAAGCGAGTAATAAGTAGGGCTGGCCTGGGCCAGAGCAGGCAGTTAACCTCGTTTTTATGGCCGCAAAGAGAGAACATTATTGTATGCAAATGAAAAGTGAAATGTCCGTGTATTCCGGACATCCAGAAAGTGGTCTAATTATCTTTCACTTACCTGTCCAGCAGCGAATAGTAGCAGCAGCAGTATGGGCAGGAGCCATTTTCCCTGGCTTTCTGAGCTCTGGCCTTTCGTCATCGCGTTCGCTTCCTAAGTCTTTCGTTCGGACTGTATCCTTTTGGGTAGCTGCAATTACCCATTTACACACTTATCAGCCAATTGAGTAATTGTGTGGCCCCTGATTATAGCCCACTTCATGCAGCTCACGCAGCTGTCAAGTCAATAGTTATTTTATTCGTATTCATTCCCTCCAAGTTACTCATCCATGGCAGTGACTCAAAGTACTGAGAACAAAAAAGCTAACCTTTGGAACGGATCTTCTCTTAGTTATTTATCACCTCGTTTTCATCGCAGCAGCTGCATTTTTCTAAGTCTTTTGAGATGATTTCAAGATTTCGACAGCCATAACTTTCTAGGAATTTTGAAGTACGCAAACGTGACACAAGTGCAGCGCCGCAGCGGATTTCTAATCTTTTAATATGCCCCTTTTTTATCTGATTAACTTTTTAACCTCCGATCTGGGGCAACGCATCCGATTCTCACGTACTGTGATTTCGTTTTCGACGCGACCCCGACCCGATTGAACCGCGTCCAATAAACTCCAAAATCAAGACGAATGCGCCGCGGGTTTAGACGGAAAAAAGGGTTTCGCAAATCGTTTCAAATGAAACAATGAGTTGGAATGCCGCAAACGAGTTTGCCTGAAATTGTATATATATTTATATGTATTTGTTTTGCCGGACAAAAAAGCACCGCCAGAGTTACGTCATTTTGCTCGAAATGCGACATTAAAGCTACAAGTCCGTAGCTAATTAATATTGAAAGGTGACATTTGTTATCCCAGATTGCGAATTACTTTGGCTTAGTTTAAAGTCAATGCTAAGCATTTTTTATCTGGACTACGAATTAAATTAAAGTTTAGATTAAAATCAATGCTGAACATGTGCAATTAATAGAGTTTGTGTTTAATTTATTCCGGACAGAAGTTATTTACGGCCCACATATTTGATTTATTTCGCTTTTCTAGCAACAAACTCAAGCGGAAACACCTAACACGCCTACATACGCACCTCTGAAGGAGAACAGACGTCTAAAAAAGATTTAATGGCACTGAGAACAACTAATATTATATTTTAAAATATTAAAGCTTAAATTTACTATAACTTATAAATTTATAAAGGCAAACCCATAATATTTCCCTCACTGATCTATGTGCAATTAGCCTTTCCCATTCTCATTCATAAATTAAATGATTTCGTATGCAGCCGAGCATCTGTGTGCAATATTCCAGTTGTGCTAAAGCTTTCAGCAAAAAGTTAGTCATTTTTATTAGTTAATAAAAAACAACTTGGCTACCGACAGTTGCTTGAACTAAGAGAGTAAATAAATTCAAAGAGAGTTACCCAAAGAGAAGCGAGAAAAAAACTGAATGTTGCTCGCAAATTCGCGCAAATTCCAGCCACTAAAAAAATAAAACAATTTTGGAGCTTTAACTAGGAACACATTTAGTTAGTTGACTTGATTTGCATGAAGTTGACCATAATCAGCAGGTAATTTTATATTATTAAAACGTATTTATTTATTTAGTTGATTTTCGTACACTCTGTTGCTCTGAAAGTTTTATAAATTTTGTGCTCTTTGCAGAGCAGACGTGTGAGCAACACGTGAAAACAAGTTTTACGCAACAGCTTATTGTTTACTTATTGTTGTTCGGGGCGTTTGTTTAATGTGTTTCGTGTGTTTAGAAAAGTTGCTTTTATTTGCTATTACTCAGCTACCTGCACTCCGCACTGAAATTCTGGCTTTTGAAACGCGTAAAACACAAAGTCCAAATGTAATTTGGCTCTTAACTTTCCGCTGGACACGTTGACGGTTCGAGAGTTTGTTGGCAACTGAATCGCAGAGACGGAAACAGCTCTAAGCCAAGCTTTAGTGGGCACCTTGTTTTGCTTTTTTTCTTCTCCCGCTCATACTCTCTCTCTCTTATCTTGCGGCCCCTTTTGGCCACATCTTCGTTTGTTTTGGCCATTTATGCTTTGATGCCTTTTTCGGTCAAAACGAAAGCGCTGCCATATCGCCTGGAAAAGAATTTTAAGCCATGGCTTTGGCGCGTAAAGTAGAGCTCTCTTGGTTTATTGGCCCAGTTGCTCTCTCGCTATTTTTATCACTTCGACACGGTTGCTGATAAAAATAAACCTTTGGAGACTTAAACACAGAGAAAAAATAATTTTATCATAATATAATTCATTAAGTATCAGAGATTTGAAGTACTCAATTTGGAACATGACTAATCCTTTATTTTACAATTTATGAGTTTTATTTTATTTAAAAAAAATGTATAATTTTTTTACTAGCCTTTATCTCGTACTAAGGTATACTATTTTTTTTTTTAGTGCATGTGTAGCGGTGGTTGTTGGCCTTTTGTAGCGTAACGCAGACTTCAATGAATCGATACGCCCGCAGGTTTCTCTAAGCCCACGCATGCGCAGTGCCTCCAAAGGGGTGTCAACTATTTCGAGAGAGCACTGAGTGTTGAAAAGCGTCACATAAATAACGGTATATTTTTTAAATTATCAATGAAAACCTAAATAAAATAACAGTTACATTAAGAAACTAGACTATTTAGACATATCTAGTTATGTATTCATCAATTCCTAAAGTTTATGCAAGATTAATCCCTATAAAAAATTAGCTTATTTTGGTTCTCTCACTAAAAATTTCTCCCTCTCTTAAACTTGACTCTCTCTTGCTCTCGCTTTTACTCTCCATTCACACTCACATACCTTTGCACTCGCTTTCCTTTTGGTGGGAAACTCTTGGCTAAAAAGCGAACTCGCTCAGTGAAAATTTCATCACCGTCGTTGATAGTTCAGCCAAAAAAATAAAATCCTTTAGCTCTCCATTCGATTCGCCTAGTTTAAATCTCAAAAATTATCTAAAACTTCAAGTTTGTGTTCACTTTTGGTCATCGAAAGGCATCGCTTACAAGGATTAAAACGCGCTTTGGCAGGAAAATTCCCAAGGATTTCTTGCTTTCTTGGTAAATGAATGAAAGGGATAAAAAGAAAAATCGAAACACGGCTAAAAGGAAAAAAATATATAAGAATTTCTGTATCACCTAGTCGGTGTGTGTGTGAGTGTCTGTGTGTTTTTGCCAGTGTGTGTGTGTGCGTGTATATTTGTGTATGTGTGTGTGTTTGCGTGTGTTGGTACGTGATAAGCGCCGCAGACAGACGCCGTAACAACAACAAAACTGAACCAAAACTGAGGAGACCCCGAGGATAGAGAAACCTCCTCCAGCGCTTTATTGAATTACAAGTAAAACAAAGAGCGCGACTTAGCTGGCGATTAAAGTGTTCTCGTGAGGGGGATGAGGGGTAGATGGTGGTTCCTAGGTTCTTGGTTCCATGTTCCAGGGCAACCTGCTAACCCACAAACCCACTGCCAATGGGCGGTCTTTCGGCAAACAGTTCTGAGTGGCGGTTTTGAGACTGCTAATTGGTTGGCAAAAAATTAATTAAAAATCCTAGATGCACACAGCAAAAGTGGTAGCAAAACTATTTTCCGCTGAACTCCTTGAAGTATGCAGCGGGAAATTGTTTTCACTGCGGCTTTGGTTTGTTTTCTGGGGTTTCCCAAAGCAGAAACTATATTGTTAATAGAACAGTAGGTTCTTGAAAAATAAATTAAAAGCTATAGAATGTCTGAAAATATTAATTGATGAAAATTATATAACTTTGTTATATTTTGGCACCTAAAGTAAATAGATTTATATATATGTTGTAGATACTTGCAGACATTTGTAATGCTTTCATTAAAGATGATTTTCAGCGAAACCCCTTCTACCGTTTACCCTGAATTTTAATTGAAGTAAGAGTTTGGGTTATTTAAGTGTCACAGAAAAAACAAAGCACAGAATTAAATTATTAACACAAATTTATATTTTTCAGAACACTCTCACTCTCTTATTCCTTCAATCAAAATATCACTTTTCTCAACTTTCTAGCAAAAGCCATTGACCCCAATCAAAAGAACCTGCCACATTTTGGCATTTGGCATAAGGCACTGCCACAATTTAGACTCGAATGCTTGCCTTTTTTAATTACCATCGAAAAGACATTAAGCTCTGTTTTATGACGAGCCAACGCACATGTCAGCACAAAAGCGTCTAGAAAGGAAATGCCGCTGGAAAATGGGTTAAATGTGGCTTCAGGTGCTGCAACTCTCCGGCCGGAGTTTCCTCCGTTTTTTAACCCCTCTATTGCACTGCAGTTTATATAACCAGTTGACAGTCAGTGCAACTGCTTAAGCTGCCATAAAAAAGTGGAACTTTAATTTGCCACTGACGTTGATGGATTGTGGTTCGCAGTGAGTTGAACTAGGGGAAACCCGAGACCGAGAACGAACCCAAAACCACCCACGAGGCAGGGGTTAAGCCGAGCTATAAACTTTTTCCGGCACAGATTTGTGCTGGCCAAAAAGTTGTGGGCTCACAGAAAAACGGGGAAACAGAAGTCGGGAGGTATTCGAGTATTGTGAGCAAATGGGGAACCGACTGCCGAGACCCTCAACACGTTACTGTGATTATTAATTCAAAAACTTTTCACACACACGGCGAGAGTAGTCGGGAATGAGGCGAGTTTGTTGTACAAAAATATTCAGCAAATCAGTTTCACTGACAATCACACAAAGTACAGGCCACTCTCAGTACAGGAAACCCAAGAAGAACCTGCGTTTTTATATAAGAAAATCAATATTAAGTCTAGTGATTTTATTTTACTTATTAAAAAGAGTAAATTTCTGATACTTCTTCTTATTATAAAATTCTGCTCAAGAAAACTTACCTCCTCCACAGTCTCCTCTGTAACTTGAGTCTAGATGCTTATAAATTATGCAAGAAAAGCCGAAAATTTGATGGGGCCTGCCCAACTTAATTTGGCAACTAACAAGGCCCAAGCAGGAGGATAATTTAATAAGGCTTAAAGTTTGGTTGTTTTGGTCCCCCCAACGGTGCCGGAAGAAGTTTATTATTGCTATTTTTTGTAGGGGGAAAAAAAACAAACAATCGGGGCCATCAATATTAAAATCGATTACTATATGCTCTGGTTAGACTTGTCAGTCGGTGGATTGCGAGTTAGTCTTTCATTTCCTTCGATTGTGTTCACTTTGTCGCTGAACTCTGACATTTTGAGAGAGCGTAGAGGAAAATGCCAAATGTCAGACCTGTCTCGGTCTCTGGTGGCAAGAGCAGCCTTCACACACAGCTTCGGTTCAGGTCAGGAGAGCGGTGGAGGTGGCAAATCCTCTTGAGAGACGCCTCCAGGATCCGGTGTTGGTGGGGGCCTCGCAGACAGCGCGGCGTCCTCTGCGTATACGTAATATGCTTAGCCACAATAACTCATTACGAGCGCTTATGTCATAAGCCAGGGAGCAAGCTTAGCACCGAAAACTAAGCGATTTTAATAGCCAAATTTTAATAGTTTCGACTTTGTAATGAACTTTAATTTATGTGCATCCAAAACCGACTTAGGGAGCCCAGGGCCAGGAGGAGCACGCAAGAAAGTAGGCTACGGCTGACGCTCAACCCTGTGCTGCCTTGAATATTTTAGTTATGATAAGTGAATCAGCATTTCGTATGCCGCGTGACCCTCGGGGACCCATTAACGCAATTTTCCCGCACTTAGCTGGGACCACGAATAAAAAAAAAGGGAAAGCACACGAATGGACAGAAAAAAGGTTGTGCCTGCTGATTTGTTTAGGTGTTATTTACACAGTGCCAGGGACGCCGGCTATTTACATGCAACATTTTGTGGCAAGTGTTCGAGATTTGTTTCGGTGCGCGTCCCCATGAGCCTGGGGATGTGTTCGTGCCCGTGTTTGTATCCGTATATCCGTGTTTGTGTGCTTTTGTCCTAGTTAGCGGCCAGTGGCAGTGCAATGAACCAAAAACAATGTTTGGCAGCCACAAAAGGCGACATCCCCAGCTACAGTCCTTCGGGATGCCGCCTTCTCAGTCCTTTCATTCAGTCATTCAGTCATTCAGTCATTCATCCATCCACTCGTCCACTTGGCTGGACATCCTTTGCCTGATAGCTGTCCCAGTTGATTTGCTTTCTGTCTTCCCCTTTTTTCTTATTTTTGCACAACTTTTGTTTTGGCGAAAAGTTACAGAACTGAAGCGAGCTGAATAAAAGGGTTTCCTACTTAAAGTTTGGCATAGGAAAAAAGGATATTTGCAGAAATAATGTATATTAATTGAATGGCATAGCTGGTGTCCTTAAAGGTTCATTAAAAATAATGATTTCGCATTATTGTAACGTATATTTATTTGCTTTAAGTTTCTTGTAGAGAAATGTTTTCAAAAATAACATTTGAATGTATTTCTATAATCAAAAAGGTGCTTTCTAATATTAATAGAATCCCATTTAATTTAATTCCTTTACCTTTTTCAATACCCTCGGAAAAAAGGGTTCTTTCCTTGCTGATTTATTTGTTGACTGAACATAATCCTCTTTTACTTTGTTACAGATTTAAATCGCGCCCAAATAGACCTTCGACTCTGTGTGGGATCACAGGAGAACCCAAAAAGCGAAACGGAGGCCAACTGCTCGACTTAATTGTCGACCTCTGTCAATATTAGCGCCATCGCAACTGCAGGGTGTGGGCGAATCTGCGCCCCGCCACCGGTAAGACTGTTCCCGGAGAGATCTTGGGCTTCATCTCCTACTACTGCTCATTCACCACAGCTTGGCTCTGGCACCCAATTATATCACTCTAAATACATATGCCACACATACACATCATTATGTTCACCACACATACTGTATATTAGGCCAACGCCTGGCATCGCTTTCATCAACAAATTGCTTTTCAGTTTTCCATCTTTTGTTTTTCCCCACAAACCTTTTCGCATAAGCACAAATAGCCCCGCAGGCGGTCGGTTTTCCTTGCTTGGGTGTGTGTATGCTTGGGACTAAGCCGAACCGTCATAATAATACTATATAGGAGGAGGGATTTGGGGAAAACTGAAAAGTTTCAAGTGGCACTGGCAGTGCCTGTTGGCCTGCGGGCCACGACAATAAATCCAAAACGCACAACGCCGTTTTTGGCCACAAGTGTTTGACACTGTTGACATGGCCCAAGCACCAAGCACCGAGCACCGGGCTCCCCTCGAAGGCCACTGGCCCAATCTTTGCCAATTGATTTCTGACATTTTGTGCCACACAAAAGGCTCTTGGACATATAAAAAGGCTCATTCAAAGAGCCGCGGAGAAATCGGAATTTAAAGACATTCTTTTCAATACAATTACATTTAAAATTGGTTAAGCTACCAAGGAAAATATATTAGATTCTCTTAAAGAAAAATATATATGGAATAAAGTAAAATTCATAAGAATCTCTTTCGTAATCTCTTCAATTTTCCCTCAGTTTATCCCCAGTGTATTTCCCCCCTACTGTCTCCTTTGGCAGCTTTTTTGCGAAATACCATCGACTGGCCATTGTCCTTTAGTGTCCTTGTCTCGTACACCTGTTGCCATCTTCAGCTTACTTTTTGTCCTCATGCCATTCATTTTTATGTCCCGTTCGTGATGCTTATTTTAATTAAAGTTCAGTTTAAGCCACCTTTATTGCAAATTTTTAAATGGAATTTTAGTTTTCACTTAACTCTCGACTCTCTCTCCGTCCGCTGCACACGAACTCACAACATTTTCCTATCCGTAAAATGCAACTTTTGCCATCTCACGGTCTACCGAACACATTTGCTCTGCCTTCCGGGCAAATTCTGTAAGTGAAATGTACTGGAGGGGGATTCGTTATCGAATCAACATTAAATGCAAAATTTACTAATCATTAAACCAGTTGGACATATGAAATTTGAAATGAGTTTTCCACCCACTTCGTTACATTACCGTCCCACTCACGGTAATGGTTTTTACGATTTTTACCATCTTTCACTGTGCAAATGCACATTCGAAGTGACCAAATTGCGCATACGCCCTGAGGGCCATGAGCTGTTAACTCAATTAGAGAAAGTTCTGCAAGGGGAGTCCCAGGATCAAAGGGATAACTTTGCCCTAGGTGAAAATTGCTGACCACAGCACAGAATCCCATTAACTAAAGGGTACGGGAACTAAGTTTAGATAGCTGGACTTACATACATATATATGTTTTATAGTATTTGCCGAGAATGCCTTATTTTATGTTTATGTGACGCTTTAACTTAATACATATGTATGCCTTAATGTCTATGCACTGTGAATTCTGGTATTTTAACCGATGAATGCCCAAAATTGAAAGCACTCTAGCTAAGCGTTAAACGCCAATTAACTCAAATATCAACTTTTGTGTTTCTGTTTAATGTTTCTTTTAAAAGGAGCCAAAAAGCAGCACCCTGAATTTCTCGTCGTTCAAATCGAGCTTCACTTCCAATGTTAATTTCCTGAAGAGAAGGTAAAGACCTTAAAAAAGGAAGTGCCTCCCCCTCCTCGAGCGGGGGGCCCAGTTGAATGAGACTAATTTGAAATTTCATATGTTCGTCTATTTCTCTCGTCCTTCTCTATCTTTTCTCTACGGGCGAATCTCTGTGTCGCCCTCCATTTGTTTAACTCTCTCCTCACCCTCTTGCACTGCACACTGTGTGACATCTTTACTTGTCTGGGATTTGAAAAACCCACGCCATGAACACACACCACACACACACTCCACCCGAATAATAAACAGATTCAGCTCGGGAGACTTGTCTTCCGAGGTAGACGATGTCGATCCCAACAGCCTACCGCCGGCGGCTCGTCCCATCCAGGACCAACCGACGAAGCCGCCAGCGACCAGCGGTGGTCCGCCGAATATGCCACCGCCTCCGGCACCGGGTCAACCCTCGGGAGCCGCTCCGGAACTCTCGCTGAGCTTTGGAGCTGGCAAGGCACCGACCACGGCAGCACCTGCTCCGCCCCGAGGAGTGAGTGCCCCGACCAGTCCGGCCAAGTCGCGTGAATCCCTGCTGCAGAGGGTTCAAAGCTTGACCGGTGCTGCCCGGGATCAGGGAGCCTCGATATTGGGTACGAATTGGAATGCAATTTGGACGGGGAATCACCTACACTCAGAACAAATAAATACTTGTCATACAAGCAGACTCTTCAGGAATCATGAAATCATTCCTAGTCATTGTATTATGGATTTAAATTCCCTATCTTCATAGTAGTAAATTAGTGGTCATTTTAGTAGACTAGAATTTAATGACTAAATGCTTTAATTGTTTCGCAGGCAATATATATTGATTATATATATCTGATTTTGGCCGACTTATTAGCCAAGGGTATTCTCCATATTTCAGAAAGTATATTTATAATCTAAATAATATAATATGTAGATCTGCTTTTCGTAAAGTCAAGCTTAAAGTATTAACTCCTGATGCATCCCAATAATGTACTATTTTATTAAACTAACCCGAATTTCGTTCTATAATACGATATAAATTCTACCAATCTCTCAAAGATATTCGAAAATACTTGATAAATAATATAAAATACCTCCAAGTATAGAAACCCAGTATTTCTTACTCTCCTCGATTAATACTCAATACTTTGAATACCCTTTCCTGAGGCAAAAAGAGTGCTGTTCTTCTGAGTGTAGGGATTAACTTATGACTTCTGGTCATGGTATCGACTGACATTTTACCCCCACAAATAATAAAATAGGAGCTGCGGTCCAGAGTGCCACACAGCGGGCTCCGACCTTCAACAAAGACAAGTACTTCACGCTGCTGGTTCTCGATGACCAGAACACGGACTGGTCCAAGTACTTCCGCGGCAGGCGACTCCACGGTGACTTCGACATCCGAGTGGAGCAAGCTGAGTTCAGGGTAAGTACATACAGTACTCTTCGCATGCCTCATCCGGTAATCGGGCTAATTACGATGTCCCACGGCAGGATATCACTGTGGTCTCCAGTGCGGACACCGGACCGGTTGTCACCATGGCTGCCTATCGCAGTGGCACTCGGGTGAGTTATGTTCGACACTGGAAATAAAAATGAGATCTTTAAGTCATGATTTTTATCTTAACACTCGGAGAGGGAACTTATTTATTTCCTTGATATATATGGAATTTAAGCTAATATCCTAGGTACATTTTATCCTTTTAAGGTTGTATAAAACAGCATTCCTTTTGGGCAAATAATATACGAATTGTGAGCCCCTAAATTATCCCTTTTACAGCCAACATGTTATGTCTTAATTACGAGCCATACATTTTTTATGAATAATAGTTTTTCACAGTGCGCCCACCTGGGTTGTTTGCGCTTAATTAGTGCAATGGCAGTGTCCGGCAGTTGTAGATGCGAGCTATCTGCCCGAGGCTTTTATTGTCCACCTGCACTCTGCAGAGTAATAGAGACATTGAAGGGGACAGAATGTGGGGCCTTAGGTGGCCAGCTGGGCGTGCTTAATCCACCACCCAAGGAAAACTTTGGCTCTGGCACAACAGTCTATCAACAGCCTTTGACCGCTTTCCATTTTCCCCCGCATTTTTCCTATTTGCGTAGCTCTGACACTCTGGCGCTCCATTTCCACTTGTTTATTTCAAGTCGTTTTGTTGGCTTTACGATGCTGCCATTGCATTTGCGTGTGTCAGTGGCCATAAAAGACACTTGTGGCTTTACAAAAATACACAACCGAAGGGGAATGATATGGCGACACACTTCTGTTGGCCAGGAAATTAGACGCCCGCTGGATTGCGGGTAGAGAGTTTGGAAATATAATAAATATATATAAAACCAAATTTAATGCTGTTCAAGGGAAGTTTAGAGAGGAAATAGAACACGGCCGAAATGCTTTAAGGTTTCCATAAACATTTTACTTTGGTAATAAAAAGATATTGCAGTTAATTGGTTTTTACGACTCCTTAAAAAAGCTTTTACATATTGGAATGTGGAAAATGCTAATGTAGTTCAAAAACAAGAAAGGAAGCTAACTTTTCAAAGTGGAAATTGGTACACGAATGCAGTTTGCAATTAAATTGAAGAATCGAATTGTAAATTTATCACAAAACTTAAAATATTTCCATTATATGAATGTCAATTTTTTCGACAAAATCAAAGTTTAAAATTCTTATAACGAAGCCAAAAAAGCCTTAATTTGAATTCGGACTGCTTTCATATGTTAGTTTTTATTTGGTTAATTAATCTGCATACTTATTTTAAAATTTAAAAAAATGGCAATTTTTATGTCAATTTTTGACAAATTTAACGATGTAACCCCTTATAAAAATTTGAATAAATTTCGAAAATTTATTTTGATACCAGACATGCCTAGTTCGATTCGGCTGTTGATTCTGATCAAGAATATACATGCTTTATTGGGTCGGAAATGACTTCTTCACTGAGTTAGAAGCTCCTGACTAAAGTTAGAATACCATTTAAGGGTATAATCGAAGAAGCTTAAGCATTTCAAATAATAGTTCTAAAATATTTTTAAAAATTTGTTCCTAATGTTAATGGTATATATATTTTCTATATTATAAAATTATTTGATAACAAACAATATATTGTCGGAATAAGTTGTATGCAGTGCCTGAAAGTAGGCAGCCAAAAGCTCTTACCACGAAAATGTTGCGCTTACTCAGACCTAGCTGGCGTCACTTTCTCATCAAATTAACTTGGTTTTGCGGTTTTATTTATTTATTAAGAGGTTATCAGCAGAAAAAGTAACAAATAAATATAAATAGATCACCCAAAAATGTATCCGTATACCTTAATTTCACAAAGAAAGTACATCCACTTACAAATATTTACTTTTATTTGTTGTATTTATGTATTTATCGTTTAAAAAAATTACAAAAGAAACGTGTTTCAAGCGTTTTGCATTCTACAATCTAAGTGAGTTTTTCTCTGTTTATTAATTATCCCTTAAATTTTCGTTTGGAATATCACACCGAAATAATAAAAAAAAAACCAGGTGGCGCGCTCTTTCCGGCCGGACTTCGTGTTGATTCGTCAGCCGCCGCGTGACGGATCCAGCGACTTCCGGTCCACGATCCTGGGCCTGAAGTACGGCGGAGTGCCCAGCATCAATTCGCTGCACTCGATCTACCAGTTCCAGGTGAGGTTATAAATGTGTGAAGGGTTTATCCAGGATTTTATTTAAATTTTGTTCCTGTATTTTAATTGCAGGACAAACCCTGGGTGTTCTCGCACTTGTTGCAGTTGCAACGGCGCCTGGGACGCGACGGCTTCCCTTTGATCGAACAGACATTCTTCCCCAATCCACGCGATTTGGTAAGTGAACATTTAAGGCTAGACACTAATTAAGTAGCTGCTCGGAGCTGGTTACATTTTCAAAAGCATCAATTAATAAATAACACATTAGGCATAACGTACGTATTAAAGCTCTGGACAGAGAGAGAAACGGGGGTAGCGTAACAAGGGAGCAGATTTGAAGGGACTTCCGGGAACTTCCGGTTTATGGGTCACTCCTACACTTTCTATAGAGCTGTGTGCGTCGCCAGTGGCAGCGGGAAACGATGCCGTGCTTTGTATTAATCTTGTGCGGCATACAGGCACTGAAATCTGTCTCGCATTTGGCACGCGGCGACCATCTGCACTCGTCCACATAGTTTGGCCCCTTCAGGCAGGCATCACGGAAGCAGGGAGTCACCTGATGGATTAGGATTTAATATTTATTAGTGAATTCAAATGAGGTGCTTCTGTCTCTAAGCTCACCGTGCAACTGCAACTCTTGGCATAGCCACCGCTGAAGCCATGACGCTCCGTCTTGGTCATCTTGATGTACTCCTTGACATAGTGGCAAACATTAAGAGCCGGCATCTTTCCAGCTATAATGTACACCTTGCCAATGTCCAGCTTCATTCCGCACATGGAGTCTGCGAGGGGTGTGGCCAGGCGTCCATCACGTAGCATTCGACGCGCCTCGGGAGTGGCCTAAAGCAGAGATATTAGTTTTCATTTTCACTTTAAGAAAATATATTGAAAATTCTCCCAAGGTAAGCACAGAAAGTAAATGTTTGGTATTACATTCCTTGCTATATTCAACCCTTGGGAATCTCTGTTGCTCTCTCTGTGTAACAAGTGACAATGTCATCGCTGCTTACCTTGTAGGTGCGCTTGAGTTGCACTTTGTAGGTGGATTTTCCGGGCTCGATGGTGTCTGATTTGCGAAGGACTCGCAGCTGCACAACTGTTGAAAAGCATTGGCATTTATTTATTGAATTCTCGTAGGGTCTCCCCCTCTATTTATGAAATAACTCACCATAGTCTGCCTGACAGAAATGCGTCTGCGGATGGGCGGGATAGCAGGAGCAGGCGTCCACTGGGCGACCGTAAAACGCAAGGACAGCGACTAGGACGAGCATCAATAAACCCAAATGCTTTCTAAAATCCATGGCTGAGAGCTGATAAAGTGACTTTATGTCGCCGCCACTGGGTCTCCGGGATTACTGTAACAAGAGGAAAATTGAGAAAATTTTGTGATTGCTTTTTATGGCGACAACAATGTTTTAATGGGAGGGAGTGCGAAAAGTAAAGGGACCTGAAGGTCACTGGGAGATTAATTATGCCCGTCTCACTTATGTCATTCAATGCTTATCAATGGAGGCCAGCTTCTCGGTTCCCAGTCAGCCATCAATCCACTGCTCAATTATGCATATAATATATTACACATACGCCCTGTATGACAGCAATTAATCGCGCCTTCTGTCACAAACAGGCACGCACAAGCCGGGATCATCAAGAGCGTTATGACAGACACTTTCCACTTTATTTATTTATTTATTCCTGCTAAATTGGATTGGGATAAAGCCGAAGATGATGCTTCAGCTACAGCTTTTGCTCCAGCTTCTGCTTCTGCTTTCGTTTTTATTTCTTTTCAGTCTTATGCCAAAAGGCAGCCAATTTAGAATGCATAAATCTCATGAAAGTAGTTCAATTGCCAGAGCATTTCAATTGAAAATTGTTTATGGGAAATTCATAGAAAACTTGAGACCCACAAATCGAATCGAAATCCATTACAAAACCGCTGCATATCGATCCGATACCGCACGCTGGATATATGTAGATGCACTCGCTACTATATATGTGGCGCAGAAATATTGTATAATATCGAAAGGGGCAGGGGCAAGTAATCAGCTGCAACTCTGCCTTTTGCTGTGCTGTCGAACTGATCGACGCAGATAGGCAGGTTCCATGCCATATAGGCGAATCTATCTATAACCATATGCCTGCCAGCCTATCTCCTCTGCTGAATGCACACACCAAAGCCGCGAGGAGGCAGCTCCAGCAGCACGGCAATGTGGCAATTAAATTGAAATAAAATTGAATTAAAAGCATTTTGCGGAAAAGCCAATGGAAAACATACGCACCAGACACAAGAGGGGCAAATGGGGGGTCTTGGGTGGCGGGGTCGCGAGCTATTGATTGAATGCAAGCGAAGCGGGCAGGAGTAATGCATCAAACTATTTATTAAGTGGCAGTCCAAGTGGCGGCCAGACAAGCAGACGCGCTGACTAATGGGTTAAACTGGGGCACACACTCACACAACACTGGGGAAAATGAGTTTTCCAAATATTGAGAGCATGTTTTCAAAAGAAACTCACATAATATATTGCTTTTATGACTATCAAAATATCTAAAATTGATTTCTAAATTGAATTAGATAATATATTCCATAAATTGTGTCCACTGTCAGCGTTTATTTTAAATTATTGAAACGATGAAATGATACATTATCGAGTTTACTTATTTATGCATGGATAAATAGTAAAATATCTGTGACAAAGAGCTTTGCGGACAATTAATATATTCTGACAAAAGTAATAGCTTTTCAGTTTCCTGATATCTATTTCTATACAATAAAAAGTATGAAGAAGTATTGAGGTATATTTTGATGTTTTAAGAAAATATAAATTTTAAATACGAGGCGTAATAAATTTGGAATTAATAACGTTAACTAAATAGTTATTAATCTATTAATTATATATTAAATATTTTCTATTTGAAATAGAGTTTTTCTCTCTATGAACATATATTAATGAAGGCTTCTTAGACTTGAGTGTTGTCTTAATGTCATTAACCTTGTTATAAATAATTCATTTAATAATTGAATGTTATTTTTTTATTCTTTAAAATCAGTTATAATAAGTGTATTAAGGTTTTATAGGGATCAAAGGTGAGGGAAGCTTATATTTACTGATTCAGCTCTTTAAGGTACATATGATTTTGCAAGCATTTATTGTGTGCCTTTCCTTAACCTTCTTAGCTGGATGTATAAATTTTCACCAATTTTCTTACAATCCAATCAAATGCTTAAGCAAATGAGATGGGGAATTAGTGTCGTAATGTCATGGGAGAATTTTCACCAAGATAAAGGAAAGCAGCTCCCCTTGTTTTCCTGTCTTTTCTCTGTGACACTTTGCCCGGCAATTAACGGCGTGGATTTGTTTAACAAACAGGCCGACAACTCAGCAAACTAGCAACAACAAAAACGACAAGGGGAAAATGAGAGGGAAAAACAAAAAAACAAACAAACAGCCGGCCAAGGAGCAACAAAAACTGGCACACACAAACACACACACGAGCGGGAAACGTCATCAGCGTTTAGCAGATAAATCAACTCGAGAGCCAATTGGCAGCAAGAAAAGCGTTTCAAAGGCGTTGGAAAATTCGCACGATTCCATCTGAGACGTTTTTTATATTTTGTTTTGTTTTTTGCCCCCTCATAGGCCTAAGTCGCCTTTATTTATTTATGCACACATGTCTGAAAGCACAATTAGCGTGGCTATATATCAGGCAGGCATAGTTTAAAGCTGCCCCAAGTCGGGAAAAAATGCAAGGGGCAGTGGCAGCAGCCTGTCAGCGTTGTTTTTGAATTCAGTTTTTTTTTTTTTTTTGGTGTGTGTGTTGTCTGGCGAAAAAGGGAAATGCTGCCGTGTTTGTTGACAAGCTCAGCACATGTCAATTAAATGTTATATATTATGGCACACGGCTGTGTGCCCCCCGAAACAAAACGTGCTGCATTCGACGTCACTTCACGCCTCCCCGTCTAGTTGACACACTTGTCTGCTGATGCTGCTCTTGGCCGCCGGTTTGAAGTCTTTGTGTCGTCACCATCATCGATGTTGACACTTGACACTGCTTTCAATTTTGAGCGACTGCCATTCAATTATGCGGGACACCACCACCACCACCAGCAACAATAAGGGCAAAGGCATCCAGTGCGCAAACAATTTCGAAAGATATTGAGTCAAATATCATCGGTTCGAGTTCAATTAGCATTGATTTCTACCCTGCTCTCAGGTCACTTCAAGAATGTTGACAAGCTACAGGAAAAAATGTATGTAGGGGTCTAAGAGAAATACCCATTTGTAAGTGATATATAGTAGATATTTCATATTATTAAAAATTATTCAAAAATTCTTTAAATAGAAACATTTAAAATTATTGTACCCTTCTGATATTCCTAGAATCTTTAAACTGTTTACAATGTCGGCAACAAAATGCCATTTTCCTCTGAAATATATTTTTATAGGGTTATTATTATATACATAGGTATATATATCTGTTGAATATGTCTCTTTATTTTAACAACATGTGCCTCAACTTGAAAATAAAATGATTATAATAAACCTTTTAATGACAAACAAAACTTTCTTTTCTTTTGTTTTTATGCGTAACATTATTTATATTTTTATATATTATCTTCCAATTGGTATGATTATTTTCCCTTATAGCTGCCGTAAAAATATGAGTAATGATTTCATTGAATACAAAATAAATATCAAATGTATAAATAAATGACAAATTTATCAACCTCAACATTGATTGAAATATATATTTTATATAAATAACAAATATATCATCAATACTTCTACTTTGATTAAAATATATACATATATATACATAATACAAGAAAGTAATAATAATTTCTCAAAGTACAATCTTTGATTAACTTGGTTCGCCTTTTCTTCAATAAAACTTCTTTGCAAATAACCCAAATTGAGGCCCTTAACAAGTTGCCATGACAATTCTCATTGTTTACAATTTATATGCTTGAATTAAGGCGACGGGACCTCATGAAATTTTTAAATCATTGCCAAAAGCATCAGCAATTTTAAATTATGCAAATTGTATGATTAACACTTGGCCAGACGGGTAGACAGGTAAAAAGGTGAGACCGAAGAGAGATTTCCCAGGTGAATTCAAAGGGATTTGGCTAAGGTCAGACGTGAAAAAGGCCACCACCACAGACCAGCAAATAAAAACAAGAAAGTAAGCTACAAAAATAAAGGATTTTCGGGCTTCCAAAGTAAAGCAGCTAAAGCGCTTTGGGCTGAGCTTTGGGTTTTTGGCTACACTCCTTTTACTCTTTTTGTTTTCTGATTTTTGTTGGGTGGTCGTGGCCACATAATTAATGCGATTTTGGTTGTTGCTGTTTGGCGTTTTTCCGAAAGTGGAAAATCTGTGAAATGAGCCGGCGGCCAATGCTAGTTATCCGTCGAGAGTTTTGCTTTATGAGCACTTAATTGCGCCCATTAATGGCTGCTAATGCCGCGTAATGTGTGTCCGTACTTGGACCCCAAAAAGTATTGACACCACTCCAACACCAATACCAACCACAATGGAAAACAGTATGCCCGAAGGGGAGAATGCATTCGACATAAAATCGTATTTATAGCTTTCGGATCTTCCGTTTATATTGCACTGCACGCTCTCCGATTTACGAGGCCTTATATTTTGCGCCTCCGAAGTGGGCATAAAAATGTGTCTAATTAGCTTTGCTCTCGGATCGCCTTTCGATGGGATGGATCACTTTTCCAATTTGCTTCTCCATAGCTTTGTCAGCGTTTTTTTTTTTTTTTGTATCCAGTAATTGGATAGTGATTTATGTTTATTTTCCTACATTCCACATTCATACCTAATTAGCGTTCTCTGCCCAATTGGGTCAACTCACATATATATTTCTAGCTGAGTTTTCAGCCTTAGATAGCTAAGATTCTATTGACTTTGTGCAAATATACATGCAAATTGTTAGGAGTACTGTATAGTAAAGTAAGTAGTTCGGGGCGATAAGATAATAAGTCCTCTATTTGTATAAAAATTATAATGGGGATTTACTTGAAAGGCCTTGATATCTTTTATACAGAATTCGTAAAAGACACAATAGGGAAAACCTACTTTATTTCTTAAATATTTGTGTGTTATTTAAAAAGATACAATCTACAAATAAAAGTTGAGACAATTAAATGGTATTTAGGTAACATACCAACAAAATAAACAACATCTAATATTAATTTTACATTTTTAAAAAGATGATGTAAATGCTTTTAGTAACAAAATAAATATTTAAAGAAAGTACAAGTACTGAGTAACCAAAATTCGTGTCGAATGACATTATGCTTTATTTTCAGCGGTCATTTACTTTTCGATATTGCTTTTTGTGGCAATTCGTTTTCTGTATGTTTGGTATTGCTGATTGACTTTCTAAACAGTCGGGAATGGGTTCGTAATAAGATCGAACTGCGCAGTATTCTATACGTAACTGATTTGGCAAATATTCCGTATATATTTCTAGCAAAATAGGAGGGAATCTGCTTATCAGGTAGAGCCCTAGATATAGGCAGTATCTCTCAATTAAATTAAGTAAATATATTTGCATTGTAGCTGGGAAAACATGCCATGAGTTGGCTTGCATGTTGAACTTAGGCTTTTCCTCTACTTTTTTTGTTTTGCCAATTTTCATAACGATGATGGAAAACTTTCTTTGGCCAGCGGCATTTCTGGCTTTTTGGTGGCGGCAGCCTTTTCAACAATGGTAGAAAATTAAGGAGAAATATCAGAGTCACGATCGGGGCAATGGGCAATGGGGAATTGCCATAACCATAATCAGCATGATCAATGCTCTGGCAAAAGGCGGCCCAAACAAAGAGGTTCCCGTATTTTGATTAATGCCTCAGTTTGATCTTTGACCCCACAACTGTTTCCCATACTACCAAACTCAGCTCGAATGAGATAAACATCCAGGTATTGGCATTTACATGCACTCAGTGACACCTGTGGCAACACAAAACTCAGTGGAATATACATAATTAAGCGTTGGAATTCGAGGTGATAAGAACTAGTGATGCACTGGGGAAAATGTATTAGTAAAAGTCTACTAATAGACATTACTTTTATTGTTAGAAAAAAGGTAAAATATATATTCTGGACATATATTGTTTAAGTAACAACTTGCCTTTTCATTATTTATTTAAATGAGAGGCTGCTTTGACTTGTGAAAAATATCACGTTTCTAGACAGTTTTCTTTAGGGTTATTGTGTCTGAAATACATATACAATTTAAGTAGACTTGTAAGTAATGTCTGTTGATGAATTTTCCACCTTATTTTGCATTACAATTAGTCACACAACTTTTCTCCAAGTGCTCTTCTAATTGAGTTGCCCGGCGAGATGCATTCGCTCAGCGGTTGACAGCTCCATTCAGGTGTAAGGTGACGAAACCGAATCCGAAACGCCGGCTGGCAGACAACTATGCTCGGAATGTTTATGGCTTACGCCTCGTTAATTCATGCATTGGCCAAGTATGCCAGCAGTGGTTCTTGACGGCTCCTGAGCGATGGCATCATTATGCCGAAAATAAAAATCTTGCGCAGCTACTGGCCTCTTATTTAGCCACTCGATGCAACCGCCGCCGCCGTCGGGGTCGAGGTCTTCGTCCTCATCCCATGCAAAATAAACACAATCATTTTGCAAAATCCAAACCGAAACAATTTCTACCCAAATTCGTCACGTTCCGCAGGCTCACATTTAGGGTTTTCGTTTCAAAATTAAAAAGCGAAGCAATTTATGACACAAATCGTCTTGCGGCGGCGTCTTGAGAAAATAAACAAAACAAAAAAATAAAAATCGCCCAGGATGCGTAACGAAAGATTCAATTAAAAATGCTAATGTGTCCGAGGGTAAACAAAGGTCTTGAACTGGAAAAAATATGGATAAACAAGAAACTAATTTACATGAGTAAAAACTTTGAGGATATAAGAATATTTAAACCGCTTGTTCGCATTATGCAGTAAAGTTCTTAGAAAGAAAACAGTATTTGACTTTCAAAAAATAATTCTAAATGTTTGAGTGTTTTTATTTAGACTATTTTTAAACTAACCTTGTTAGATTTATAACAGATGGCTCCCAATAACTAATTCTAGTTGTAAATGTTAAGAATTCAGTATAATATAATTATTTTCTTAGTGCTTTAAATGGGTTGAAGAAAGAATCCAAGGGTCTGGGGCCTTTTGACCGGCTGTCTCGGACCCAGGGTCGCCTCACATTGCAGTTACTGGGCCATAAAAATATAAATTTTTAATGAACTCAGCCCCAATACTCTGTGAATTTTATGCATGTGCATATGCGACGAAAAAATAAACAAACATATGTATGAATATGTTTGCAAATAATCAATGTGGGGTCCGAATACAATGGGCTTCAGTGTGGGGCCGACTTTTCATTATCAAATTGTAGTATTTGCATAAAAATCAATAAAGTGTTCAAATAGCAACGCCTGACAGTTTAATTAAATATTAAAGAGATTTCCTGTTGTGCCCAGCTATGAGTTTTCATCAATTCGAATGATTTATTACTGCATTCCGAGCTCCATTCAAGTCTCGCCGGGTGACAGATCTTGTCGAGGAAATTAAGGAAAGGACCAGAAAAACAGCCCAAGTCAAGTGACACAATGCGACAAATTGACGGCTCTTGGCCCACACACAAATCGAGAAACTGAAGGAACTTGAGGAGCACGGAGGAACCTCGGGGAACTTGGATACCAAAAAGAAATCATCGTCGATAAATTGCCGCCTGACTTGAGAAATTTACGCAATAACCACAAACTGTAGGGGGAAAAAGCGAGCAAATAAAAATAATAAAGATGAGGGAGAAAAGTTATTAATGGACAGGAACACCAAAGACTCTTTGTCGCCGATTTCTGCTTAATTGTACAATAATATTTAATTGCAAAGATTTGCACAGCAAAAAATTATGAATGTGCCGTGGATGAGCCAGCCATGCCGCAGTGGGTGTGTCTTCCAAATAAACAATCCCAAGCAAATGTATCCAAGTATCTGTATCTGTATCGGCCTCCGTATAAGGTAACTCACTTTTTTTGGGACTTTAAAAGCCTGCGCCTGGCCGAATATGGCAAATTGAATGATGTGCGAGGGAAAAGTCACAATCACAATCGCAATCATTCGTTGTGACAATTTTATTTACCGACTTTATGCGGCTTTTATGGGGCTCTCTGTGGCTGAGCCCAGTGCGAAATCTTAGTAGAGCAGCCACCGCATTGATCGGATTTACATTCTCGGAATTGTTGAAATAGGTAACCGAGTTTTGCTTTCAGACAATAAGCTATTTGCGGTTAAGGTTTTTTATTTTAAGCGCCATATGGCGATATGTGTAATGGGAAAGTATTGATATAAATCTATACCAAAAAGTAGCTCTAAATATAAAGTAAAGTGTAGGAAAGGGTTAAAACTATTTATACTAATAGGAAGTAAAGTGAAAGAAATGGTTTGTGTATTTAAATTGTGATCCATTACATTTTCTATGAAAATATGTCTTTAATTCTGTTTTCGCTGAAACTGTCATTTACTCAACTAAGATAAATGAAAGCAAACACTTTTAAAAACAACATAATTTTGTTAAAATAATTACTGTAAAATAAATTTAAAAAGTCAGAAAAACACTCAACAAATAAACCTTTTCCTACACCTAACATATAGTATCCAACTGATAATGCCTTGAAAATAAAAGTCAACGCAGCAATTTGCCGAACATTTCCCAGAAAAGCAATACAAATACAAGCTCATTTAAATGGCGCACAAACAACAGAAAAGCCAACAGTAAAGCCAAAGTCAAATGAAGGAAAAATTATGAATATCCATGCGAAACAATGTCATGGAAAGCAACAAAGCAAAGGAAATAAAAGAGGGGAATGGAAAAGCACTTGAAAATGCATTTTCACGCATTTCCCCCGAGGTGGCCTCACCGATGTTCCCCTCCCTTTGAGTATTCGCTTATAAATATTTTATAGGTTTATGTATTCGGGAGAAAAAATGAAGAAACAACACACCATACACAGTAGAAACCAATACATTTAATGTGTTCTAATCATATTTTTAGACATTAAATGGCCAATGCCAAAACACACATGACGTATACGTAATATGGAAATACCTCCCACTCGGCCAGAACTTTCCTTGACATCCAGCAAATATTACATATATATATATAGTTACTATATATCACTGATATGACCGGGTGGACTTTACGATCAGACGGCATTGCACAACCAGGCTACTTTTATATATTTTTTTTTAATGACTGCAGTTTGTTTACGAATTGGCGACATTAAAAACTATTAAGACGAATCGAGAGGCGCAAGAAGAAAACCCAAGTCGCTCCAAACAAGCAAATAAAAACAAATTATAAATAAACGCAAATAAATAGAGGCAGCACTGTGTGTGTGTGTGTTCTGGGTTGGAAAACTGTGTCGCTGTGTCAGAAACGAAATAAAAGTTTTTCCCCGCGCGCGCGTTTTAAATAGCCCGAAAAACGCGCGCATGTCGCGCCTATGTCGCGCGCTTTGCATACCTTCCATTTGAGGCTTCTAAATGCCAATCGCTTTGCAACAAACAACTCTAAAGTTAAATTGAAACTAAATAAACAGAACCTGGTATTTTTAAATGACATGCAGCAACTTGTTTTGGGTTGATTTTGTTCTTATTCGGTCTATCAACACTCAGGGCAAGTGTTCATAGGCCAGAAATGAAAGAATTTTTCATCAGACAAATAAGTAACTACAAATTATAATAAACTATAATTATTCAAAACACTTTAGACCTTTAAACAAATTATATAAAGAAAATGTACTCAATTTAATAATCATTTATCTCTTAAGAACTTTACAAAAATCGTCAATAATTTACTTCTGGTTTCAAGAAATTATTGATTTTAATGCAAGTACTGAAAACAGAAAACCTAAAAACCACAATTTCAAGCTCTTGAGTGTAAAGCAAATGTTTCTTAATTATATCACTTGTTATAGTTATTCAAATTCAATATTCCCACAAATATAATTTATCGAAAACAAAACACAGTTCATTATTTTTACCTTTTTGCAAAGTCTGCTTAGTAAGTTAAACAATGTACACTTCCTAGCTTTTGGACACTTGAACCCGATGGCACAGAAATGATTTAAATTCGGCAATGTAATTTCACTGAAACTCGCATAAATCGACTGCACTTGATCTTATATTTATTACCGATCCCGCGGATTGATTTCTTCCAGCTCGTTGCGCTTGCGGTTCTGAACTGAATCGCCAAGTTTGAAGTGAAGAGGTACGAACCCGAAACGAAATCGGAATCGGAAAACGAACAGCGAGCGATTTCACTCGAGTTGTTCGGATCTTGAGACTTTGGGTACTTTGAGTGCTTCACTCGATCGGTCGGCCGATCAAAAGCGTAATAAATTCCCCAGAAATGAGTGGAAAGTGAGTGGTGTGAGTGGAGTGAGTGGATCGCTTGGCGATTGCATTTTTCTGTGCATTATTTTACCTTGGCAGCTTTATTAATTGCGTGCATGGGTCTGGTTTATGCCGAGAGCACCAAAGTACGAGAGTATATCGTAGATACATGGCGCCACAACTAAATACTAGGAGGGGAATAATAAAAGAGAGATCGCCACACGAAACCACAGAAAATAGCGCATCTGTCAGGCCGCAAATCAACTAATAATTTAGCTTATGTTGGCTCTGTGAACCCGACTTCCTATAACCACTTCCTATTCCCCTGTGCTATCCCACGACCATGTGGCGCACACACGTGCTGCTCCGGCTCCCGCGCTGGCCATGTCATGCTTCATACTCCATGCTCCACCTACAGCACGTTGCCATAATCTGCATACTATCCATGCTGCCGGCTAACGCCACCGCAACGGACATGTATACACTGGGGGAAAATATTATTGAGAAGTATTAATTAACTTATTCGAATTAAGAATAAAAAGGCTTGAAAACAAAATAACTTCGAGGAGCCAAAGTGTATAAACCCTTGCAGTTCAGAGGATCTTAGTTCCAAATGCGAAATCGAGTAAAACTTCTGGCAATCATTGAAATATGTGCACTTTAGAAATATTAAATCAATATTTTATATGCTATTTTTTTAGGTAAATCATAGTTTTTCAAGTTTCATAACTCAGCCAAAAGTGCATTAATTTTCATTCGGAAAGCGTTTCTGTCCTAGCTTTTCTACGGCTAACAAATGTGCTTACTTAGTTTTTAAATTTAAAAAAAATCAATTTTTTGTCAAATATTTGGCAATTTTAGTAATGTAACCCCTTGTAAAATTTAGAAAATTTTTCAAAAATTTATTTTTCTACCAGAAATGTATAGATCGATTCAGCTGTTAATGCTGATCAAGAATATATATGATTTATGGGGTCGGCAATGACTTCTTCACTGTTTTACAAGCATCTGACTGAAATTATAATACCCTGCAAAAGTTGGCGCCAAAGTCAGAAGAGTTTAGAAAGTATCGTAAGGGTAAGAAATCAGTATTCGTAAATAATTAATACAAATTGCTGTATCACTCTAAATTAAAATTAAGCCATGGGATCCATGGTAAAAAAGGAATTTAAGTAGGCTTTTTATGATAATGAAAGTGAGCTTCTCCCTGGATATCCCAATGTGATACATTGGTCAGGTAATATTACCGGAGTCGAAGGGAATTCATAATCACTTTCACCACTATCACTTGAGATGTTAACAGGTGGAAGGCCGCGGACAGAATGAGGCTGGAGCGCAGGCAGCGCCTCTATTTATAGTCCCCGAGCAAAGAGAACAGAGAAAGCGAGACCGAGAGAGTAAGAGCTATCACTGGAGAAAGGCTGAGAGGTATAGAGAGCAAGTGGTGCCTCTGGAGGTACACAGAAAGAGGCAGACATACCGAGAGTGAAAGAGAGAGAGGTTGGCATTACATTAAATTTAACTATTGTTTTATATGGTAGCTATATGTTATAGTCACCCGATCTTAATAAAATTAAATTATAAAATAAAACTAAGTGGCTTGATTTTAAATTAAAAGAAAATTTGTTGTAAACAAATTGCTACCTACAAAATTTGCATAAACATAAACTAATTTAAACACTTAAGAGTTGAAAGAGTTTTATAATTTATTTAAAACTCAAGTATCATGTTAATTTCTCTCAGTGCATTTCCTCTTTGCACTCGTATATCGCTCACTCAACCAGAGAGCCCCCCGCTCAGCCGCCCAATAGCCCCCTGCCCCTCCCCCTTTTCGCCAGCCACCCGCTGCAGGGCGTTACGGATGCGTCACAGTGCATATTTTAAGTTGGCTGATATAATACACCGAGGAGCTTGATCGGGCCCCTAGACGGGCGGCCACTCAAGCGGAATACGTAGCAGCTTCCAAGAATGCCCGCTATGCGGGGGTGTGACGTCCCACCATAACATACATACATATATATTATATAGTAAGTCCGAACCCACATCCATCGTTGATATTTCATTGAGAAATTCTCTCTCACTCCGCTGTTTGTTAATTCTGTCATCACGATATTGTCTCTTGTCCCGGCAATTGCGACAATTCTTTGGTCTGCGTCATGGTTTGTTATGGTTTCCCTCTGCTGTTCTTTGTATTTTTTGTTTTATTTTGATTGAATAAACGACATGAAGACCCATGTGTTTTTTTGTGATTTATCAGCTGTTTAAATATGGTCTCAGAGAGAGAGATGATTAACAGGGGTAATCATTTGTCGATTTACATGTTTAAATATAATAAGCCATAAGCCAGAGACTGTTACATCAATAAAATATGAATTAATTATTTGTAGGCACTGGCAGCTTTACATATTTAATAGGAAATTTTGCATATACCATTAATAAAGGGGAATGCATATTTTGAATAAATATAGTAGTATAGTACACTGCCTGACTAATGTTGGGATTCTGGGAAATGAACAGGAAAATCAAAGAAAATTTACATGGCCAGATTCGTAATCGGAACTCATGCAAAAAAACAACAACAGAGGAAACTCAAAGTGGTTTTGGCACTTATCCAATGGATTCGTAATAATCAGTACCCCTGATTTCCTCAGCAAATAAAATTGAAAAAATAAAATAAAATATATATACGAACCTAAAGAGCCTGAGTGCCATCATCATCGATGTATTGTAATATATAGAATGCAAATCAGACAGCAAAGATACTGATTGTGATTGCCTTCGTTTCCCTCATATATCACGTAGAAAAAAAGGCGGGATAAATTAATTAAACATGCCTAAAATATATTTATAATAACAAGGTAGATAAATAAGGGATTTATTCATATAACCAAGTACTGGAAAATAATTATAGAAACATCAAAACCAGAAATATTTATCTGTTATATTTTAATAGTAATTTGTTATTTGATCTTTTTGAATATATAATTAAAATATACATTTTTTCCTCTCTGTGCACTTGCAGTTCCAGTTCACAAAGTTCCCCAGCGTGCTGAAGGCTGGACATTGCCATGGCGGTGTGGCCACCGCCCGGCTGGAGAACCAGAGCGCCCTCCAAGATGCCGCTGGATTGGTGAGCGGTGCCGGCAACGATTCGCATTGTTATTGCACCATTGAGCCCTACATCGATGCCAAGTTCAGCGTGCATATCCAGAAGATTGGCAACAACTACAAGGCATTTATGTAAGTGACCGCAGACAGGCAACCGCAGACAGCAATTCCCTGTCCACAATGCGGATGGGAATTGGTATTAAGTCGAGTGGTCCGACCTTGAATACGATTTCCATTTCGAATGAAACTGTCAGCAGACAAAAGCGACCGCCTGGCAATTGGCAATTATCTGAAGAGTTCATTGTTTGCCGGCCAAAATGTGGCATCGAGTTCAAAGATCTCACTTTATTTTTCTCCCCCAATGTCTCATTGCATTAACCATGCTTAATTTATTATGCTCATTATGCTTTCGCTCTTTAATTTTGAACAGGCGTAAATCGATCACCGGCAATTGGAAGACCAATCAAGGCTCAGCCATGTTGGAGCAAATCACCTTAACCGAGAAGTACAAAAGCTGGGTGGATGAGGTGAGTAAATTAACAAAAATAGGGGGAATTTAAGAAACATCACTCCAGTTAAAATAAATTCTATTTAAAGCTATCCTTAAGGCTAACACAATTCAAGTTACCGCTTACCGTTACTACCTCGCATTCTTAGCCAAGTCAGGGAAAACCATTCCCAAGCCCGTCGCATTTATCAAATTTGGCCAATCAATATGGCTAAGGAAAATCGCTTTAAATTATTTGCGGCATTTTGGGTGCACAATTTTGATTTCGGCCGAGCTGCGATTATCCCCTAAGGGGACCTTCCACACAGTATTACATCGTAGGAGACGGAGAACCCAATCCGTAGACCAGAAATCATAGCTCGTCTGACGTCAGTCCTCTGTCAGTGCCCTCGAGTGGCGGCACAGCTTTAATTAAAGCTCATGAATATGCAAATCGGATTTTGAGCGATGAGGTAACGGGATTTGCTCTCCATGTCGCCCACAAAACAATTCCTGGCAATGGGCGCCTCATAATTGCCATTTGTCCAAATGAAGTGCAAAGCATTCGGAAACACGGGAACCCCATCGGTTTTGGCATTTTATCAAGGCCTCATAACTGCCTTTCGGCTCAACTTCCTTTAAGTGGTGACTCTGAGTCATATAAAGGCAAACGAGACACTATGTGCATTAATTAATTGCACTTTACTGCCGCTGAAATATTTCTCATTCATTTGGTTAGATAAGACTGCCGGAGTCTTGAGTTACATGCCAAGAAAAACTATTTGAATTTTCTCGCTAAAATGACACTGCAATATTTTCCAATTAATGTTTGCTGAATCTTTCGGTTAATCAATATTTGTTAATGAAGAAAACCTCATTTATTCGGCAAGAAAACTATATGTTTAAGATTTTAAATGGTTTTAGTTTTTAAAGTATAATAAATAGTATGTGTTGCTGAAAAATATTACCCTTCTCTGAAATAATTTTTTCCCTTGTTAGGATCTTAAAGCTTCAGGTTTATATTGTTAGAAAAAATATGTTTCCAGTCTTATTAATACCAAAAATATAAATTTAAAATCTTAGCAAATTATAGATTTAATGATGTACTGATAGTTTTAAATGCCTACTGCATTTTCCTATTAAATAATAGAATTTTCCTTGAGTGCAGTGATAAGTGGGTGTTTCGTCAACGCTGCGCGGCAACGTCAGCGCTTTTCTGGGCAAGTCGGAATCGGAATCAGCATCGACATTAGCGTTAGCATTAATCAAAACAAACTGTGTAATTAAAACCGGCAGCAGCGGCAACACAGCCGAAGCCAACACAGAAATGTTTGAGCCCGTTGGTTCCCGTCTGAGTTACTTACTGACTGACTTGACTGACTGCGCCTGCAATTGCAAAATGCAATCGAAAACACATTTTGGGGTCATGACTCAGTCGGAGCTCTAATCGGATAATAATGCTCGCTGGTTTCCATTTCAGATATCCGAGCTCTTTGGCGGCATGGAGGTGTGTGGTCTCTCCGTTGTGGTGGCCAAGGATGGACGCGAGTACATCATCAGTGCCTGCGATAGCACTTTTGCCCTGATCGGAGACACCCAAGAGGAGGATCGTCGGCAGATTGCAGATCTGGTATCAGGTCGCATGCAGGTGGGTGGAAATCTCTAGAAAATGAGATTAAATATATTCTTATATGAATCGAATCACGATACCTTTTCAGAACGTCTGCCGACCCAGCATGGCCCAGACTGGACCCGGCAAGCTGCCCTCCCGCTCCTCGGTCTCCTCGCGTGCCGAGAGTCCCACGGATGAGGGCATGGCACCCACTCCGCCGCTACCGGCTGGCCCACGACCGGCGCCCATGGGTGGACCTCCACCAATTCCGGAGCGCACCTCGCCGGCCGTGGGTTCGATTGGGCGGTTGAGCAGCCGCAGCAGCATCTCGGAGCTGCCGGAGGAGCCCTCGTCTTCGACAGGAACAGGTCCCAGCACTGTGGGTGGAGTGCGTCGCGATTCGCAAACTTCGCAGGCCTCCAGCATCTCCTCGGTTTCTCGGGCTCCGGGCCAGAGGCCAGCGCCGGCACAGAGCCAGAGCTCCGTGGTGGAGGATGCCGAGGATACCATGAAGAACCTGAGGAAGACCTTTGCGGGGATATTCGGGGACATGTAGGAAATCGCTAATAAGAAGCGCGGCAGAACGGCCAGCGAGACGAGTAGCGGCAGCGGGCCGGGCAGTGTGCCCAGCAGTGCCGGACCGGGAAGCAGTGGAGGTGGATTCAGTGGCTCCTTCCTGGGCAAGCAGTTCTCGTTCGCCAGCGGTGGCGGCAGCAGCAGCGGCAGTGGAGCGGTGATCTCCACCCAGCCCACACAGGAGCCACCAGCTGCTCCGCCGGCCATTAACAGCAGCAGCAGCGTTTCGGATAGCGGTACAAAAACTACGGATACGAATACGGAAACAGATAGAGCCGGAGCCGGTTATCAGCCGGTGACCAATTTTGAGCCACAGGAAAGGGTCAATCCATTTGACAAGGAGCCGCACAAGTCGGCCAGTGGAGCCAGCATCAACACAGCTTCCTCCTCATCCTCGATGTCGTCATCCTCCATCTCGCCACGCATCAATCGGAATGGCAATGCCATCAAATCACCGCCACCGCCGGCGGGTCCACCACCGCCACCACCCAGCCATGTCAGCCATGTGAGCAATGCCAACAGTTCCAGTGGCTATCGGAATAGCTTCAGCAGTTCCCTGAGCAAGGATAAGACCAGCTATGGTAATTACGGCAGCAGCACCTCGGTGGAGACCATCACACGCATGGATACGAATACCACAAACACGGGAGCCACGGCCACAGAGGCTGGAGAGGCCAGCGGCATTACGGCCATCACAAATATTAGCAATAGTGCAGGAGCAGGGACCATAGCTCCTGTTACAGGTTTGTATTCTAAAAATAAGAAAGTTTTATTAGATATTTAATGAATAAATTTGCTTTTAAGGTACCATTACCACCTCGGTCACAACCAATGACTGGAGAACGGCCATTGGCATGCGCTCGGCCAGCGTGTACAGTGCTCCGGCAGCAGTGACCACCACTGGGTTACCCGGAGACACCTCCGGCTATGACTCCAACTCGATTGCCTCGCAGGATGGTGGTTTAAACAATCCCAGCGATTTGCCCTCATACACACGGCCCTCGTACTCACGATCCGAGAGCAATGGTAATTATCTAGCCGTGGGGGTTCTACTGGTCAGCCTGACGCTGCGAAAGACCTAGAAGGATATATACCTATGCATAATATATATAACATCATGCCATTTAATCTCATCATTATCGTACTAATCAGCTACACCCCCATATATATATATATGAATATTTAGAGACCAACTAAGAGTAATCCCTAGCTAGCCATGTAGGCAGCCGTGTCAAAGTGTTAGCCAAAAATAACGAGAACCAATTAGGAGTTATATATGTGTTCATGATTTAGCCTAACTGCTTTTGAATTTCCTAGCTCGGGTTTGTTCTCCAAGCTCAGTGAGTAAGCCAAATATTACGTATACGACATGCGAGCCGCTCAAGTGTTTGTAAGTCTCCTCCAGCGATGCTAAAACGCTTGCCTGCACACACACCGAGACACACACACTCGAAATATATATACAAAACAGATTCATAATTAAACAGCAGAACAGTACAGTACACACTCGCTAGAGTGCACCGCAAAACCTGAGTTCAGTTCTGGCTTTTTGGGCACGCAACCAGAGAAACAAGACAAACAACAACCAGAAAAATCAAGAAAATAACACCACAAGAGTAATCAATAATCAAAGCTTTTAGTATGAAAAAACAAAACCAAAAATTCCTTAGTAATACTAGTGCAACCATTTTTTTAGTTTTAGTACGTCTGTGTGTGCGTGTGTGTGTGTATAGCAGTAAATGTAGAGTTATCAAAAAAGATGAGCCTTCCTTTTAAAAGTTATCAATCAGTCCGGAAAAGTGTATTACCCTTGCGAATCAGTTGGCATTTTCATTCACTAAACACATTGATAAAGCTTGGTTTTTGGTAACGCTCATTTTACTCATCCTCCATCACCAAAGTCCACCAAATAACCAAAATGCAAGGAGACGATCGAAAAAGTAAACTATATACCTAAAAAATAAATAAAATATAAATGAATTGAAGAAGTAATTTCATAGTTAAAGAACTTTTGGTGTGGTAATTCCTTATCTTTCATTAAGATTATATTGTTTTTATAGTTATTCAGAAAATATATTTTTGTGGAATTAGTTCCTCTTTGATCGTCTCCAACATTACCTAGAACTAAAGCTCCAATATTGGCTCACGTAGTGCTAGCATTAAGTGCTAAGAAAAACTGCACCCACGCCAAATTGATGTGCACCCATGTCTCCATAGTCATATGCGATCTCTTACTTATTTCTAAACTCGATTCTTGCAGCTTCCAAACAGTCAGATCTGGACCTGATTTTCGGCGATAGCAAGACCACGCCAGCCTCTTATGGAAATGGCAAATACACACGGGCAGCGGGATCCATCTCAGATGCAGACATGATCTTTGGTGGACCACCCTCCAACTATAAGACCGATCGCTTTGGGGCAGCCAAGAGCATGAGCATGAGTTCCAGCGGAGTAGGTTCCGGCAATGGATCCGGAGCAGGGGGATATAAGATCTACGATGGTATTCAGAATGCGGCATTCAGTGACTTTAGCGATTCCGGCAGTGTGAGCAGCATTGGATCGCATACCAAGCGCTGGAGTGCCAATAGGGAGGATGACGATGAATTGGATTTGAAGTGAAGAAGTGAAGAGTAGAGGAACCATCACCAAAAGCAGAGATGTCCAAGCCGGGAAGAAGTCATTCCAAGTTTGGACATAACTGACCACAGTCACTCACAAGACATAACGACACACACTATATACCACAAGCAAACTATGGAAATCTATCTATTTTCTGCCTCTGAAGTTTCCTGGTTTCATGGGAATGAACACTAAGCATCCACACACTCGCTCATGATTTAGTTACTATCGTTTTCTATCCCCTCATAAGCCATAAGGATATTCACCATCATCAGCAGTTAATGCTATGTAGACACTGTAGAACACTACTAATCTATAAATATAACCACCAAAGCAACACAATAATGCAAAGCCCATTAGATAATGTCGCCGATGACTTGACTGGTTTTGCAGCATGATATATAGAAGATGGGAAGTTGGAAGGATGAGGAACCTATTTAATTACACATACTTGAAAGCATTTTGAAAGATTTTCCAACAAAAAAAAAAATAAAAACGAAGGTAAAATATACATACATATATTATTGAGAAGAATATTGAATTATATACCAACATATTAAAAAAAACCAATTGAGGAGAAGTATTCGCAAGCGTATATTACATGTTGATATGGGAGAACTTTTAAATAAATCCAAATATTAATGAATTTGTTATATATACCAACATGAGACACGTATAAAATCCTAATACTATATAAAATTAAAGACAATATGCGCAAAAGTATAACAAACAAGACGAATGTTTAATACTAATCTATATGCGAACATAATTATAATGGATAAATCGGTTAACGAACTACTTATATATATATGTATTCGGGAATTACTATGAGCAAATGTTACATACCAAACACACGGAAACACAACTACAAAGCTACTCACACACAAATTAAATGTTTATTACCACAAATATTATGATTATTATTATGATGTATTAGCAGTTAATGTTTACGAGCATTCAAAACGATAAAGGAGATATGGAATACGAGGATTTTGAGAGAAATGAGTAGAGTACCAACCACTGCAAGCAATGTTAAACCTAGGCTGAATAACGAACCAAACATATTCGAATATAGCGATCTATATATGCGGCTTAGTCGGTACAGGGAGCGGTTTGAGAACGGAATGATATTGACGAATACTTAGATAATATATATACATAAATAAATATTTATAAATGTTGCAAGCGACAACGAAGTCATATTAAACATTCAAAGTATACACAATTGCTTAACTCTATGATTTAGCCACAAATGTTTAATGAATGTTCTTCTGTTACGCACATGTTTGAGCATTATTTAGAGCAATAGACAATTTTACATATGTTATAAATATATTTGAGAAAAATATAGTTACGATTGGGTTGTATACTTCTCCTTCTCTTTTATCAACTAATTATTACAGTAGAGAATTTTAAAACAAAAGAAATACTTGAGAAGTTTGTTACGTTCTTACCTACTCTCCTCTTCGATTGTAGCTACAAATATTTTAATCTAAACAAATTTACAACTATACAATGATATTTTCCACTTCATGCTATATCATCCTACCATCTCACTCTCTCTCTCTAAAAATATTTATATATTTAATATATATATGTAAGTTATAAGTGAATCTTTGGCTACGCGTACTTTCGTAATCGTAAACATCATCATTTTAATCGAACTGGCACATATTCACGAATGTTTTATAAACATATACATACATATATTTAAAACGACAAAAATGTAGAACAGAACGAAAAAGTACATAAATAAATACGGGCATCAATCGAGCAATTCGAAGAGCATACACACATATATCATGGCACTCGACCCACAGCTCTCACACACCATAACTATATCGTACATCAACGGGAACGAAATGTAATGAAAGTGCTGAAAAACGTAAATTGAAATTCAAACGAAATACTCAAGCATAAAGCATATAACTTACACGACTTCTAATCTGTTGCAAAATATACCAAATAAATACTCGTATTATTGTGAAAGTATAGCGAAGATATATGTATTTATATGTTGTCTGTAATTGATTCACCTTTCCCTCCCCCAGAGTCCCAGAAGAAAGCGAATCCCCCAAACCAAAAATATATCCCATTTGCTACTCACAAAATTTAATGCAAATCTATAAATATATATATACAAGTACCATAAATTACTCAAATGAACAGCAGCAATGGCTAAGCAAACCCCCAAAACCAAAACCAAAACCAAAGTAACAATAAATGAGTTGATGATTGATACAAAAGCAAAGACCCAAATTGTTTTCCACTCTACGCACAATTTCGCGTGCATTTACCTGCGGAATCGAGTTAGCATTGACATTAGTGGGAAATCCTTCTAGCGGAAAAACGACGGCGGCAATCTTAGGCTGATGACACCAGGAAAAACACTCTCACTAGCTCTGTCTCTGATCCGCTTTTCCAGAGCAACGAGGCCTGCCGGTATAATGTACTTATACCTGCCGCTGATCTGCTCGACTACCTGCTACATTTTGCGGAATTATTGGCCATCTGGGCGGAGACATATAAAAGGCGGATATTTTCTAGGGGGCCAAGGTAGTCTTCAAACACGACACATTCGTTTCAGACACACGCGATCTTCAAGATGCCACAACCAGGCTGGGATTACATTATTTTCGCTCTCCTGATATCCATTAGTTTCCTGCATCTTTCCAAGGCAGCCAGCTATCAGATTCAATCCTATGACTTGGATACGGATAATGATACAATGAGCAACAACATCAGTGGAGAGGAAGAACTTGATGCGGGTGAAATTGCAATCACGGAGAGACCCTTCTCCTGGCTAAGGAATGCCAACAAAATGCTGGGTGGCACCGCTGGCCATGTGGTCATCCAGGTGGCCAAGGAGCTGATACATCGATCTGCTGGAAATAGTCAAGTAGGTCAAGAAGTGTAGTTGATAATTCTATAAACTTAGCTTTTAAATAATTATAATCTCTTCCCTACCACAGGTCCTTAGTCTCAATCTAACAAATTTGCTGATCATTATTTTACTGAAAGTCCTTATCTTTACGGCTGGCATGCTGGGAGCAGGACACTGGACAGGATATGGCAATGGATATGGTCGTTCCGATGGAGGAGGCTATGACTTTTCCTTGGGTTTGAACCCGGGAGATGATTATCTGATAACAGGATTTCTGGCCGCTCAAGGAACCGGCAAGGATGAGTGCCTGCAAGCAGCATCCTGTGCCTGTCCCAATGCGGCTTATGCGTATGCAAGGGCAGGACGACATCTGCTAGGACTAACTGAATTAATTCAAGGGTAAAGAACTCTATAATTTCATTACATTAAAATATAATTTACTAATTTAATTTAATACTTTAAATTGCAGTGAGGCACCTTTGGACAAACCACGTTACTTGGATCTCATAGTACTTATGGAGAAATCCGCCCACAATGGCTATCGGGGTGACAACTGCAATACCACCTACAAGTGCGATGGAATACTCTGATCTTACTTCCAACAAAAACACTATTTATATATCAATTAAAATGTATATTAAATCATTAAGTTGTAGTACAAAACAAAGTGCAGGTTAGTGCTCGGTTAGCTGCTTGTGGTGTACAGTCTCAAATGGTTCAGCATGGAAATCAGATTAGTTGCTAAATATTTTAACTACGCTATGTCTATTATTGTGTCTACTTCGGTTGCTTTTCGACTGCTAATCCAGTTCAGGTCCTGACTGGGGATTAACGCAGGATATTACGGTCTACGTTGAGTTGCTCCTTGCCACCGGTTATGGCCTTCACGAATTCCGGATAATGCAGCAGCCCATCGTTGTTATCATCGGCAATAAGTAAGAACTTGTCAATGGCCTCTGTGTGTGGATAAAAAATAAAACTACTCAGTCAAAAAATATACTTTTTTGTTGTTTTACTGTACTTTTATAAATATTAAATTAAGGTTAGTAATTATATAGATAAGGTTACACATTGTTTACCTATAAAGTGTTCCAACTCATCGGTGGCATTTTGCAAGTATTCATCCCGCTCAGTATTCTTGAAATAGTCATAATTGTGATGCATGGCAGACTGAATCATCTCCAGGCCATCGAGCGCATTGTTATTGTCATTGTCATGGGCCTAAAGTTAAAAATAAACTTGATAGAATTTACTTTTAAAAGTGCCAATTATTCACCTTAAACATGTAGAAGATTTTCTCCTCCTCGCTCATATCTTCCAGGCTGGCCTGAACACCCATGTCCCTCAGGTCATCATCAATGCGGCTGAAAAAGGAGAATTTATTATCATTTATATTTAAATATACACCAAAAATGAAATGTTTCATTAAACAAAGAACTAAACTTCAATGCAACTACGGAGTAGTAGATAGTCTCTTCTTTTTTCTACAAGTAAATTAATAAAATCTCAAAGAACTTACTGCTCCTCATGGGTGAGATGCTGGTCCACTCTCCGGGTCTCGCCCCTGGGATGATGTGGACCCCTCTTCACCGCCAGGGTTCCATCAAAACTCTGGCTAAAGCTGGCAATGCAGATGATGAAGTTCAACAGATTCGAGAAATTGCACATTTTGTACATTCCGAAAAGCAAAAGATTAGCTAAACTTTGTGTTGTGTGTTGAATTGGATATTTGTGTATTTTTCCTTTGCGGGGTGGGTTTCGGTCAGGTACCAACTGTCAGATGTGGTTATCAAAAGCGGTTTTCCTCTGCGCAGGCGCTGGAGTTGTCAAAATTCAAATAACATAGCAACCTTGGCGGCAAGTGCCGAGAGTTTGTTCAATAAAACTAGCCAAAGTTAAATCAGTATCTGCTCTGTAGCCCCAAAAAAAAAGAACGCATTTAAGTATTTGTTAAATTTCCAAAATGTGCGAAACCTATTGCGATGAGTTTGAGACCTTCAATCCGGAGGTTGAGTTTGCCAAGTTCCAGAAACGCAAGCCAGTGGTGAGGACAGCCCAGCTCTATGAGAATCTGCACAAGCGGGAGGACATCAAGTGTCCCTGTGAGTATTGAAGGAATTTATTAGCTCCCTGAATTACTGAATCCCTTTGTATCTTTTCTAGACGCTTTCAAGGGCTATGGTGTGGAGACGGATACCAACACCATGTACCGCACCTGCAACTCGGAATATGGTTATTATGCTCCCAATGTCTATACCATTCCCAAACGCTACTATCCGCTGCCCCAGAATTTCTCCAACGAAGTCGCCCGCTTTGGCATGTATCGCAATTTCTCCCTTAATACCCACATTGATCGCACTTTCTATTGAGCCAAAGGGAATCATCAAGATGTTTACTCAATTTTGTGAGTTTTCAGTGCGATTTTCAAATTTTATGCTGGTCAATAAGTGATATATGTATCTTCGTCGAAAACTTCTCTGACACATTAAATAGCCGCAAGAGCAAAAATTCATTAATAATAATAAATTTAAAAATGTAAAAACCCAAGCCTATAAAGAGTTTTTATTAAAAATTATAAAATACTTTATATATTATATGACCCGAACATCAAACATATATTTTTCCATAAAGCAATCTTGTAAAAATTAATCAGTATAAAATGTAAAATACTCCACAAATGTACCCAGCTTTGATTATTATGTTTTTTCAAGTTCTTTGTTAAGTTTTCTGGTTTTATAAGAAAAGAACAAGTTTGAAGGCAACATTTAACACGATACCGATGCAAATGTTTAAATTTAAAGTAAATCAAGTGAACCCACCGCCGCGTTTTATCTGCAAGCCGCCAAAATGAGGTGAGTATTAGCATAAGTTTGATAAGTACTGAGTACTGAGTGGTGTTCGTAGTGAAAACAAGAAACTACTCGATGCACTGCTGTGCGAGATCTACGGTCGTCAGGAACAGAGCAGGCAACAATCCAGCCAGGATTCTTCGAGTTCGAAGGAGCTTAAGGGACAACTGGCTCGTATGGTCAGCGGCATGAGCGGCAATCGGTCTACTTTGGAGCGATTGAGTGTGCGGAAGCTCATCGATGTTTGTGCCATTCTCAAGGTAGAGATTCTGATGATCGGATATTTGTTGGAAAAAGTCCTCATAGCCAGGGATAGGTTGCAACGCCATCAGGAGGTGCTTTGCGAATTCGTTACCGCTGTGCTCGTCGTGGAGAGTGGTAAGAATAAGCTACCTTTAAAGTTAAGAACAAGTTCTTTAGGTGTTTTATATTAAAGTCATTTTCAGGTTTAAGATAAGGTTTGATAGAACTATATTTGTAAACCGTACGCTAGTTAGCTACTTTTAAACGTAAGGTGTAAGAACAGATATAGCTTTAGGATCATTTTCTTAGATAACTTAATTTATGTGCTGCTTTTAATTTTATAGTCTTTATTTCGAAGAGACAAAGAATAACATATCAAAAGGATCATTTAGGATATTTAAATGCAACTTATTTTATAAATGTAAGATATTTTTCTATTACCCTCCAATTTTTTCGAGTACATCAAATGTCAAAGTGTGTGTGAGTGGGAGGATTGTAACCAAGGACTGCGCAGACTCCAAAATGACAGCTGGGGGGCTCGGTTGCCTTTTAGTTTGGAGCTGTCGCAAGACCCTCAGTCAAGTGCGGAACTCTCAGCTGTGTGGATCGTGAAGTGCGGAACTCGGAAGGCGGAAAAGCCAAGAAAAGCTCAACGCTGAACGCTGAAAAAATCCTCGCTAGCGTCACGCAACGTGCATGTATGTGTCAGTGTGTGTGTGTGTGTTTGTGTTTGTCTTTTATTGAATGAACTTTGTTGTGTCCTGTTGGGTGTGTGCGTGTGTCTGTGTACATTGGTGTGGGCAGGTGAAGCTCAGGAGGTTGAGTTGATGACGACACAGACGTGGCCAGAAATGCCAAGAAAATGTGAAAAAAAAAATTATAAAAAAATAACTGAGAGTGTGTGGGTGCGTGTGCCAGTGTATGTGTATGTGTGTTAGCGGTTTGAAATAACATGCGTGTGTAGGTTGGCCTCCACGAGCATTTTTGCCAGTCTTATCTATGTTTTTGTATCTCTCCTCTCTGCCTCTCTCTTCTATCGTTGTCTCGTGTGTGTGTGTGTGTGCGTGTATGTGTAGGGGGTGGTGTGTGTGTTACCCTTGATATTCCCAGACCAAAATACCATTGGTGGTAACCAAACAAGAGCTATAAAAATAAAAAAGAAGCGCGTGCAAAAAAAGGCAAAAATGTAGCATGCCACCGTTCAGCATGTATTTATTTATTTATCATTTCACTTATACACCGGAGAACTTTATTATTTATTATTCATCATAACTAGCACAGTGGCAGCCAACCGTCTAATTGAATTCCCCGTCGGGTAATTGAATAATGCAATTTTATCGATCGTTGCTTGGTGAATTGCAATTAAAAACTCGGAGGCACTGCGCCTAAAAGCATGCAATCGAAAATTTCATTAAACCTGCAACCTGACTGCCTTCCGGCCCCGCCATTTTGTGCCCCTTCTAGCCACTACACAACAAACACACCCACACACAGCCATGCGAGGTGACTCTTGGCCATTGTTTTTCAGAATGCGATTCTGAGTGTGATTCATGTCACGCCTCTCACACTCACTCTCACATTCGCCCTGCAAAAAAGGCCCACAAACTGGCTTTTTGTTTGGCTACAAAGAAATACTACAAAAAAAAGAGAATAACCCCGAGCCGTAGTTGATTGTGGATTGCATAACTACAAAGACTGTCCCACAAAAAAAGACCGAAACGGAAGAGTTGAAGGCCGCGCACGGCTTTAATCCATATATCTGGGCCAAACCACGGCAATCCATTATGCAGCCATAGCTATTACTTGATATATATGTACATATATAAAAGCAAGTTAATGAAAGGAAACTTGAAAGAAACTTTTGAGCTCATCCCTCTAGTAATAGCCACATTGTAAATGCCACAATTTCTCTTCCTGTTTTCCATTTGCTAAGCTCCTCCGGTCTTAATTAAATGCCACTTGGAGCTTCAAGCTCCTGTTTACCTTTAGAAGGCCACCCATCCTGGGGCATTAGGCTGCTTAGGCCTGTCAGTGAACAACGCAAACTCTGCTCGTGCAGAATTTATACATTCCACAAATGCGCTGTGAAATGCTATGAAATTTTAAAATACGAATTCCGGCTCACAGGTAATTACTTGGCAAGAACGTAAACGCAAGCTTAACAACAAAAAGTGGGTCAAGACAGTGGCCAGTAAAGCGGGCAATCGATGAGTGCACCACAAGTCGTACAATGGCATGGTTATACTGGGAGAAAAAATGTTTCGATTTAATTTAAGTTTTAGTTTAATACAAGGGATGTTAAGGAATTTTAAGTCGGATTTAAAATTCAGTAAAAAAGCTTCAGCTGTGCAGAAAAGAAACAGTTTGACAATGCAATAGGGTTCTAGGGTTCTAGGGTTATTTTCCTAAACAAGAGTTTCTTTGGCTTTTGTTTCTTATATGTATTGTAAATAAATAATATATAGTTACAGTTTAACAAACACTGACTTAATTTTAAGGAAACAATTTCTAACAATTTTGCCTTCAAGAACACCTCCAATGTAATTTTAATAATAATCAGTTTAAAATCTGTTTTAACATAAGTATCATAGTTTTATGAGTATACATTCCTGGAAACCAACACTTTTTCTCAGAGTGCACCACTAAGACGGTGCTTAGTGTCCGTTTTTTCTGTATTTTTTCCTCGTCCAAGTCAGCAGTCACCTGGCCGAGCTTTGGGAACTGGGTCTGCAGTTCTTAGTTGTCAAGGTTTTCCCCCATTTTTGTGTGCAAATTCGTGCGAGTGAATGTGAATGTTTTTTGAGTTTTTCTGCGAGGCAAGGAAAATAGTTTTCAATGACAGCCGAGTCTGGGGTGTTTGTCTCTCTGTGTGTGTCTGAGTCTTATATAACTTCAGCATGTTACAACTACCTATGCAAATAGCTCAATAATCTTATACATACAAATATATATAATATATTTTTCTGTGCATGCTTATGTGTAAGTGTATCTCTGTGCATTATATGTAAATCTTGTGTAAATAATACAATAGGCCACAGCAACAATTACTACTACTGATACAACTACTACTACTACTACAGCAACAACAAGTACAACGTAAAAGCAAAAATGTAAAACCATAAATAGAGAATCCCCACAACAAGAAAAAACTACTACTAACTACAGGCAACTACTGGCAGAAAGCATAGCATACCGTCAGGCGCACGTTAACTTAACATGGGTAACTATGCCAAGTCGCACACACCTCAGCTAACACCCTCCCTATATATTTCTCTTTGTCTCTGTTTCGGTGTGTGTATATTTATATATATATTAACATACTTCCCATACTTCTCCGATCGATGTACTATAACTAATGTGTTTTTTAGCGCATCTCAAAGCAAAAAGAAAAAAAATATAGCGACTTTGCTTTGCCATCTTCGATCTGTTTGCTCGTTTTTAAACAAAGCCTTAACACTTGCTCTCTCTCTCTATATCTTTCTCTTTCTTCGCCTTATTTATTTAACAACGATAAAAACCAACAACCAAATAACAACGAAAAGGTAATTTATGCAAAATAGTTAAAGCTAAGAGCTGCTGCATATTCCATACAATATTCGTTGAGCACACATTCTTACCCCGGGGCGGACCTAAATAAATGAAAATTCTTAGGAACCATTAACAAATTAATTTGCCATTTATAATTGCTAGTTATTATGACTTTATTTTCTTAGAAATGCAAGAAATGCATTTATTTATCACTTAAAACTTGGTACATAGAGCCTTTAAAAAGGTCAAAGAAGGTTATACAGCCTTTTAATTTGAAAATAACATTTCTAAAATAATAATACATGAATCAGCCATGACATTATTTGAAATAAAACGTACTTATTTTTCTAAAAATAGTTAGAATTCTCCGTAGCCTAAGATAAAGAATTTTTAATAAATGTTTGCCAGATTCCTTAGTTTTCATCTTGTACAAACATATCACGAATAATCTCTTTCTTATATGTTAAAGCAATTAAATTTTTAAATAAGTATTCATATATTTAAGTATGTACATAATTAAACAATCAAGTTTAGTTGTGTACTACTGCAATTTAACTCTATTTTATCGATTTAACTACAATAGGCGTTGGCCAACACTGCGTATGAGTGATAAAACCTATGTAGACTTACTTAACCTCTTTTTTCTTGGTTGAGAATTCGTTAAAGTAATGCAAATTTTGTATCAAGTTTAGTTGTGTCTTACTGCTTTTGAACCTTCATAAATGAGTTTAACTACATAAATAAATAATTGTTGGTCAACATGGCGTATACTTAATATACCTAGACTTACTTAACCATTCTGTCTTGACCATTAGTTTTATAGATTTCTTATACAAATTTATACAAAGAGTTCAAAAAATGCATTTTAAAGACTTCAAATAATGATCTGGTAAATTTGTTCCCTTTCAACTAAGGTCCGCCCCAGGGGCAACCCCTGCCACCCAGCCAAGCACAAAACACATCGAGGCATTAACTCGTACATATTACTCATGCTAAACGCGCACAGTTCTAATTTTGGCGGCCGCCTGTAATTAACATTTGCATTTTCGTAGGGCAAGGGCTTCGGGGCTTCCCCCCTTTAGCCTGGCATAAATTTCCATTATTTTGCCATGTCAGAGGCATGCCACGCCCCCCGTCCATTTAACCCATTTTATTCATACCCAGGGCAGTGCACACACACACACACTTTATTTGAATTTTCCGCTGCTGCTGCTGCTACTGATGTACTCTGTTTTTAGTTGTACTTGTACTTTTTCGATAATCGCTGTCCTATGACCTCTCACCCTTCACACATATACACACACACATCTGTTGCATGTTGGTCAAGTTGTTGTTGCTGTTGTCTTCCCTGAATTTGTTGCCTCATTTTTTTTTTTTTGCCACCTTTTCAGCAATCATTTTACGCTCTGATGCCTCCTCTAAACACACGCGTGTTGCCTGCCTGCCTTTTTTCTGCCTGTAAGCGTGTACGTGTCGGTGTTTTTGTTTGCCGTGCTTCCTGTTTCGCTTTCTGATACGATTTCTCTTCATTTTGTTCCTCAAAATTGCAAAAGCACCTGCCACATATTTGCCATCAACCTGTAATTACTGCGACGCAGCAGGTAACT